TCCTCGTCGTTCCTGACGGCGAGCTGGATGTGGCGGGGCACGATCCTCACCCTCTTGTTGTCGCGCGAGGCATTACCGGCCAATTCGAGAATCTCGGCCACGAGGTACTCGAGCACGGCGGCGAGGTAGACGGGGGCGCCGGCACCGACGCGGCTGGCATACCTGCCCTCCTTGAGCTGCCTGTGGATACGACCGACGGGGAACTGAAGGCCAGCCTTGAACGACCTCGAGTGGCCCTCACCGGCGGCATCCTTGCCAGCGGGGGCGGGCTTGGCCTTGGGGGCAGAGCGGGGAGCCTTCTTGGCGCCCTCAGCCTTCTTGGTGGTCTTCGCTCCTTCCTTGGACGACATTTTGATGGATTTGTGTTGAGGGGAGCTGCGAAGTTGTCGAGTGAGTGAGCTGGATGAAGCTTGGAGTGATGAAGTCTTGTCTGCACCCGCCTTGGTTTTTAACGTCAACTACTCACTTTTCCGACCAACCAAAATTCAGAAACACCTAACGGTCGGGGGCTAACTCTGGTTGGATGAAAATGTGTTTTCAGCCAAGCTACCATTGGCTGTTTCGAAAATTCTTATCATTCTCATCATCCAGATGTGGAATGCGGACTATGCACTAATTTGGCTGGTGTCCTTGCACTTGGGGAAGCAAAGCCAAGCGGCAAGCAAAATGGCGGACCAGGAGCATCCACCCACTGATGAGGCTGCGTATGGAGAGGGAGAAGCCGCTCATCATGAGGAGGTCTATGGCGAAGAGGAAGCCGCTGAACATCACGATGAAGAGGGCGCCCAGCATTACTATGTACCCCCCCTCTCTTTCACATCCTTTCCTTAGCACAAGAAGGGCATGCTCAGTTGTGGATTAGTTGAAGGTCTGCGAAGCGAGGCGCTATAGTCCTTCTCATTCTTATACAACCATTTGGGGCTCCTTCTTCAATCCAGCATGACAGATCGGCCGAAAAGGTGAGGGCGATTTTCGACTACGTCGCCGAGAACGACGATCATCTGTCGTTCAAAGTGGGCGATCTGATCAACGTGCTCGAGGAGCGCGACGGTGGGTGGTGGAAGGGCGCACTGGGTGACAAGGAGGGACTGTTCCCGGCCAACTACGTGGAGTACTTGCCCGAGGAGGGATATGAAGAGGAAGAGGAGGAGGCCATCGAAGAAGAGGAGGTCGGCCTGGACGACGGCGCGGCGGGCGACGCAGGTGGCGCCGACGGCGGCGAGGAGGGAGGAGCGGGCGGGGCTGAGGCCGCGGCAGTGCTGTCGCCGGCCGACGAGCGCGAGGAGCGGAGGAGGAGGCGGCAGCTCGACCTGGACGAGCTCGAGGCGCAGATCGAGGAGAACAAGGCGCAGAAGCTGGCGCTCGAGGTGGAGCTCGAGCAGCTGAAGCGAGTGAAGGAGCACGCGCAACAGGAGCTCACCGACATGGGCCTGGTGCGCACCGACATCGAGCTGCTCGTGTACGACCTCGTGAAGATCATGGGCGAGCTCGACGAGGAGTCGGCCACGATGAACGACCTCCAGACCGCGCGGCAGACGCTGCAGGCCGAGCTCAACAACTTCTCGGCCCTCACGTCGTCCGAGATCAAGAAGGGCAGCCCGCTGGAGCCCTTCAAGACCGAGATCCTCTCCAAGCTCGCCCAGCTCACCCTCAAGCTCACTGACGACGACAAGTTCATCGGCATCTACGAGAAGAAGAAGAACACCTTCTTCTTCATCCTCAAGGCCGTCAAGGACGCCCTCCAAAACAAGTGATCCCGCCCGCGGCTGTACATATAACGTCTTCTCGACCCGCGGCACGTGTGCGAATAAATAACTCTCTGTTGCGGAGCGCGGCGAACGACAGTGATGTGCGTATGTGCGTGTGTGTGTGTGGGCGGTGTGGTGAAGTGGTGGCGTGGAGTGTTGGGTGTTGGCTGAACGGAGGGGAGGAAGCTGCCTTAGGGCCGGATGAGGGCGGAGAAGGTGATGACCGGGTTGTAGTTGGGGTCCTTGGCGGCGAGGCTCATGCGCCGCACGTTGTCGGTGGGCACCAGCGAGCGCACGGTGGGACGACTCGCGGCCTTGGTGAAGAGGGCCAGGGCCTCGTCGGTGCGCTTCTGCAGGTAGTACCCCACCGCCAGGTTGTTGAGCACCGAGTCATCGTCCGGCTTCAGTTTCGCCGCCTTCTCCAGGTAAGGCATGGCCTGCGTAACATTGCCTGCACATGATGAGGCGTAGAGCAGAAGACGAACGTCAGCACCGGTGCCCAAGGGGATCGGAGAGATGGAGAGGGTGTGTGTGCGGTGTGCGCGGTGTGTGCGTTAGGGATTGGTGCAGCGGGGGTGTACCAATCGAGAGGTAGAGGCAGCCCAGGTTCGTCTCGGCGTCGCCCTCCATCTGGTCGCCCTTGGGGGTGATGGACATGGCAAAGTGGTAGAAGGTGATGGCCTTGTCGATGTCGCCCAGCTGCCAGAGGATGTAGGCCGTGTCGTGCCACGCGAACTCGTGGTAGAGCTTGGGGTGGTGGTTGACGATGTTGGCGTAGAACTCGAGCGACTTGGTGAGGTTGCCCCGCTTGAGCCAGATCTTGCCCAGCCGCCCTCGGGCCGATGTGTACGAGTCCGACACCGCGGCCGACAGCAGGTACTCCTTCTCAGCCTCGGCCTCGAGGTGACCCATCTCAAGCTCAGCGGCGTAGTTGTAGTGGGCCTTGCCGCTGCCGTAGCACACCTCGGAGGCCGACTTGAAGAGCGAGAGCTGCGAGTTCCAGTCCGGGTTGCGCGCCAGGGTGCGGGCCGAGTAGGCCAAGAGGACGATGAGGCACACGGCGAGGAAGACCTCCTTGGTGATGTAGCCGCGCCGCCAGGCAGTGAACAGAAGCCAGCTGGTGATCAGGCAGATGCCGATCGAGGGGATGTAGAGCACCCGCTCGGCGATGACGGTGCCCGGCTGGAAGAGCACCTGGCTGGCCGGGATAAAGGGCACGATGTACCACGAGAGGGACACCAGCAGGACAGCGTGCCAGCGCTGCGAGCGCAGGGCGAGCACCAGGAAGACGACGAAGCCGACATAGGTGAGGATGGGTGAGGAGGTTGCGCGGGTCGGCGAGGGAGGTGACCATGGGGATGCAGGCCATCGAGTAGTCGCACGACAGCTGGGCCGGCCACAGCTGGATCCACATGTACTGGAAGTGGAGGTAGAAGATGGTGAGCCACTTCTCCTGGCCCTCGGCAAAGGCGATCGGGTTGTGCTGGATCTGCATCTTGAGGTCTGCGAAGCTGCCCACCCACCACTTGCGGTGGACCATGAACGCGACGCCCACCACGGTCGTCGCCAGCGTGCGCCAAACAAGCGGCCGGAACCGGTTGAAGGTGGCCACGAGGCCCTCGCGCTTCACGCCCGCGACGTTGAACTTGGCCGGCAGGAACGAGACGGCCAGCGACCAGCAGTCAAAGTTGTAGAGGAGGTCCCAGGCCCAGCAGTTGGCCAGCACCATGAGGCCCATCTCCTTGGAGAGCACCGAGAGGATGAAGCAGACCACGTAGCCGCAGTACCAGCCCCACGACGTGCCGCGGGGCGAGGCACACCGGACGTAGGCCAGGAATGCCATGAGGTAGAACAGGCCGTAGAGGCCCTCGGCCCGGCCGACGATGGAGTCAATGGCGTCGGTGTGGATCGGGTGGGTGGCGAACAGGAGGGCGGCGAGCGCGCTCATGCCGCGATCCCCGCGGAAGACCTCGAGCCCGGCGAAGTAGAGGAGCAGCGTGCAGACGCTGTGGAGCAGCACGTTGACCAGGTGGTAGCCGAAGGTCTCCTGCCCGTGCAGCATGAAGTTCCACCTCAGAGTAGTCACCGTTACGGGTCGATACGACTGCAGGAACGTAGAGAAAGACCCAAGGATCAGGCTTTGCTGGAGGTCGAACTATGACAGCGGCTGAGGGAGAGGGGCAAGGCACCTTGCAGCTCCATACACCCTCCTCGTTGATGAGGTTGCCCCAGTAGTCGTTCCACCAGAGGTCTATGTAGTCGCGCGTGCCACGCACGTCGGGATTCCTGCCCACGACCTCGCTGTCGTCGAAGACCAACCCGCCGTGAAGGCCGTTGGAGAACACGAGGAAGGCAACGATCGGTGCCACCGCCCACAGCGGAATCGTCAATCGTGCGGTGTCCCAGTTCCACTTGACGGACTGCCACCCCGAGGTCACCTCGCTCCACCAAACGTTCTCCGTTGATTGGCTTTTCGAATCTGAATCGGAAGAGTGCATCTCGCTCAGATTGGAAGATGAAGATGTAGGGGCGATCTTGGCGCTAACATCCTTCTTGACGTCTTCCTCCTGGTTGGGTGGGATTGCTGCGTCTTTGGCCTTCTTGAAGAAACTCGCCCCCTTCCGCACAGTTGCCATCTTGCCTCCCTCCTCTACGCGGTGCCGCCAACAACACCTCACCTCTTGCGCGGAGAGTCACCCTTGCCTTTCTATGACCGCCACCTTAACCTGATAAAATGCTAAAAATTACAAAAAATTATAAATTAGACATCAAATTAGAGATTAAATCGCTGGGCTGAAGGATGGAGGTGGAGGCCGAGAACGTCGCCGGAGCGGAAGTGCAGCTGCCCGAAACGAACGAAGGTACCGCCGCCAACACGAGGAAGCGGAAGGCCACCTCCGAAGCCGACGAATCTCAGGGCGCCCCCTCCGAATCGCCCTCTGCTGAAGATGCCGAGGGCGGAGCAGCAGCAGCGCAAGCAGCCGAGGGAGCCAAGCCCAGTGCCGAGCCGGGTCAACAGGGCGCCACCGATCAGCCACTATCGAAGAAGGCCATGAAGCGATTGAAGAAGGCCGAGGAGATGAAGGTGAAACGTAAATTTCAGCGCGCGCAGCGCAAGGAGCGGCAGAAAAAGGCCAAGGAGGAGGCCAAGGCTCGCGGACCCCGCGTGCTGGCCGAGGGCGAGGACCCACCCATGTCCAAGTGGAAGCAAAAGAAGAAGCTCACGCGCGAGCGCGTCACCCTGCCGCAGCGCGTCGTCATCGACTGCTCCTTCGATTCACAAATGACCGACCGCGTACGCCTTGCTCTCTTCTTTGAATCTTTGTTATTTTTTGTATTGTCTATTTATTGATTAATATTTATGTGGTACAATTATAATTAATAATGACTCGCGGTGGTGATGGCGGCGAGCAGGAGGTGGTCAGTTTGGTGAACCAGCTGGCGCGATGCTACTCGTGCAACAACGGATCGACGCACTGCCTGCAGTTCCATCTGACCTCGTTCGGCGGCAAGACCGAGGAGCGACTCAAGACCGTTCTCTCGGGCTTTGAGAACTGGAGAAATGTACCACACACACCCACACACACACAACCACACACCACACACGATCGTTGGCGCACGGTGACGTTTGTGGCTCACCTTTCGTTGTTGTTGTTTGAAAACAAGATTACGGTGGATCCGAGGGGCTACATGGACGTGTTCAAGAAGGAGGAGCTGGTCTACCTCACGGCCGAGTCGCCAAACGTCATCCAAACGCTGGAGGATGACAAGGTCTACATCATCGGTGGCCTCGTCGACCACAACCGACTCAAGGTATTCATTCACCACCCGCATTCTCGGGAGAGGTCCGAAAGACGTTCGCTGGAGAGCTCAACGTGATACGCGCGCGCAGGGGATCACCTACAAGATAGCACAGGAGCAGGGCATCGCCACGGCTCAACTGCCCATCGGCGAATACCTGCAGATGGCCTCACGCAAGGTGCTCACCGTCAATCACGGTACAGGACCGCCCCGTTTAGCGCCAGCATAAGGAGTGGCGTGAATGGGCTGACTCGGTGGTGGTGATGGTGATGATGGGCCATCGTGCGCAGTGTTCGAGATCCTGCTCAAGTTCAAGCTGAACAACGATTGGGAAAAGACGCTACTCGAAGTGGTGCCCAAGCGGAAGGGTGCCCACAGCAGGGTCGGCGACAATGCCGACGAGGACGAGGACGA